TCCAAATTGCTGGCACTAGGTACAAAATGTGGAGGAAGGTGCTAGGGCACTGCAACCCTTGCTTTGTAGCCATATAGGATAATTACCAGCACACACCATCAGCAGCTCCAGGAATACCGAGATGCTGGAAGATATGGACCTGTCTTATTTTTTTCAGGTGGAAAATAAGGTACATAAAATTCACCCTGAGCCCTCAACACACAGGAGAGAAAGGTGTGTGGTGGCTGGGACTGTGTGAAGGGGACCTCTGGCCCCAAATAATGACACTCGTGCTTTGAAGAACCTCCTGTACTCTGCCATCATTACTGATTTCAAGAATTAGTGCTGATAACTCCACACAGCCTCCACCTCCCTGCACAGCAGAGGCTCTGAATACCCCACAGCAAGAGCATAAACGGAGAGAACAGATTTCTGTGTCAGAAATGTGCCCAATCACCGTTAGCAGCGAGCTCCTGGGTATTCTGCAGAGGAAGAAGCTTTTACAGAGGTGATGAGACAAATGTCCTGTGTAAATTCATGTGGTTCTACATCTGTAGAGCCACAGCTGGAACACAAACATCACCAGGTCATGTCTTTGCAAAACAAGAAATCAAAGCAAGGCAGACCCAGAGTGCAGGAAGCACATTGCTCCTGAGGATGTGTGATCTCCTGAGTGATCCTGCAGGAAGCACATTGCTCCTGAGGATGTGTGATCTCCTGAGTGTTCCTGTGGAGGAAGCACATTGCTCCTGAGGATGTGTGATCTCCTGAGTGATCCTGCAGGAAGAACATTGTTCCTGAGGATGTGTGATCTCCTGAGTGATCCTGCAGGAACCACATTGCTCCTGAGGATGTGTGATCTCCTGAGTGATCCTGTGGAGGATCTCTGCTCCTGCTCCTGAGGATGTGTGATCTCCTGAGTGATCCTGTGGAGGATCTCTGCTCCTGTTGCCCACACAGCAGCACAGACAAAACAGCTGCATTTAAAACCTGGCCTGTTCACCTCCAAAAAAAGCAGCTGAATAAACCTGGCTCTCTCATTCACCCAAGGCAATTACACTGAGGGCGCTGGGCTTGAGCAGCAGAATGAGAAGTCAGAGCTGCAGACTTTTAAAGCTTGTTAACTGAAACTTACAAAAAAAACAAACAAAAAACCTCCAGTAAAACACTTTTCCTTTTATATTTTCCCTCTGGAAAAAAAACAGAGTTAAAAATAAAATATACAATAAGTCAGCTCATAAGAACACACAGCAGCATTTAGAAATGTCTGGGGTTTTTTTCTTTAACTATTAGACAAGAACCTTGTAAAGCCACGAGGGTTTTGTCCACGAAGTCTTTTTAAATCCATCTATGTTTAAAATGGCCTTTATTTTCCTATGACTGGCAAATATTTGTAAAGGAAGTCTGAAGAACAACCTGTCAAGGAAAAAGGAAAAGCACCAGATCTAATTTAAATGTTTCAGGAGAATTAAATCTGTCCATACTTGCATTGCAATTAGAGTCTCCATTTTATTTATTGCAATTGCTGATTCCATATGGACTACCTAAATTATCTAGAAAGACCATTTAAAATGAGCCTTTTAACTGATGAATAATAAATCTTAAGGCTTCTATATCTGATGGTGACATTATTGTACCTTTAAAGTGAACTTTTCATGCTCTAATCTATCCTGGCTAGGTTTATTTCATTTCCTGATACATTCAAACATCACCAATTAAGGCAAAGCAGCTGGTCATAAACTGATTTAATTTCCATCATTTGCTTTGCTTTGAAAGCTGTCCCTGTGTTCCCTCTCATGTTCTTTCTTCCTTACACATAATAAAAATAATTACACTTCTGGTTAGAAGAACTTGCTGTACTCTGCCATCATTATTGAGAAAGGGCTGATTTCAATAATTAGAAACCCTGCCCACTTGCTCAAACACGACTTTATTGTTATCAGTGCATTCACACTGGGGATGAATGTTGTCCAAGCAGTTCTGGTGTTTAGACACAAGTGCTGCAGGCCCTGAATTCCAATTCCCATAAAAATCGAAAGGCTTTGAGAAAAGGTTTAGAGAGGAAGGCCCTCAAATGCCTTGGCTGCAGACCTGGCTGTGTTTGCTGTGGTTTTACTCAAGGGTTAATTGGGAGATGTCAGCTGGG